TGGTTCCAACCCAACCTGAGAAGGAAAATCCATGAGACGCTTATCTTCAATTAACCACCAAAAATAAATGCCAGAAATAGAGCTATGGCTCAAGTGGTAGAATGCCAGCCTTAAGTGACAAAGCTCAGGGACAGCATCCAGGCCTTGAGTTCCAGTCCCAGTTGTGACACACACAGCCACTGACTCTTAGAACCTTTAGAAAGATTTTGACTAGAAGGAGAGTCATGACTCCTATATATGTTCTATTACTAATAGGCTCATGAAGAAAGTACAAGAAAAAATATAAATTCAGCAACAGAAATATGTAGGGAAAGTCTATGCTTGAAGGACCCAACTTGGGGACAGCTTCAGAGAAAAAGCTCTATGTAGTTGACAGATAAAACAGGAGAGCAAACAATCCAGTGATAGTACAGAGATGGATGGCTGGATAGATAGATAGATCATCAAAGTTCTGAAAGTTTGCACATGACTCATGACCTAGACTTCTCTCAACCTCTGAGAGAAGGTAGATGAGTACCAGGCTCAGAATCAAGAGGTAGCTGAGACTCAGACAGTGTAGGTATTATTCCTGGATGAAATTCTCCAGCATCAGAAAGATGGTATGAAGATGTTGTCCACTATTTATATGCTTCTTTTTTTGTTTGTTTGTTTTTTTGGGGGGGTCTGGTCGTGGGGCCTGAACTCTGGGCCTGGGCACTGTCCCTCAGCTCTTCAGCTCAAGGCTAGCGCTCTACCTCTTGAGCCACAGCGCCACTTCCAGCTTTTTTCTTTTTGCTTATGTGGTGCTGAGGAATCGAACCCAAGGCCTCATGCATACAAGGCAAGTGCTCTACCACTGAGCCACCTTCCCAGCCCGCTTCTTAATCTATAGATCTATGGACACTAGTTTTCACCTTAAAAATAAAAAACTTCTGGAAGCAAGGAGCTGGTGGCTCACACCTGTCAGTAATCCGAGCTACTCTGTAGGCTAACATCTGAGAGTTGTGGTTCAGAGACAGCCTGGGCAAGAAAATCCATGAGACTACTATCTCCTATTAGACACCAAAAAATCTGGAAGAGGATCTGTGGCTCAAGTGATAGAGCACTAGCCTTGTACACAAAAGCTCTGGAACCAAAACAACAACACAAAAAGCCAAACATCTAAAAACAAAGCAAAAAGGTACTGGATGTAACCATCTATAGCATGTTTTCCTCTTTCAAGGTTTGCTAGCTTTGTTTTAAAGTTCTACTTCCAGAGTTTGACAGCTTTTCTTTTTGTATTTTTATTGTATTACCCTCAGATGCTTGCTTCTGTCTGGAGGTTTCAGAGGAAGAGATCAGGAAAGGAAGCAAGGAGAATGAGTGAAAGGTGGGAAGGAAAGCATCCAGTCTCATTCCCTCTGTCTCCTGGATCCTGGTCACTTTTCTTAGTGCTGCCTTTCCTCTCCACTCTGGCCATTTGAGTTCCAGAGTCAAAGCCATTTCTCCTATAATTTATTTTAATCAAGACCTTCCTGAAACAGAAACATCCTCTCTGGAGAAAACAAAGCATCAAGGATCCAAGATGGCCAGTGCTATGTCCGGCTCTCTTCCAATGTGGAGAAGCACCCGAGGACAAGAATGACACATCTCAACCAACTATCAAGATAGCAATCTTGTCATGTGACTCTGGTATTGAAATCCCTGTGATCTTGGGTACTCACCAGACTTAAGAACTGGCATTTGAGCCGGGTACCAGTGGCTCACGCCTATAATCCTAGCTACTCAGAAGGCTGAGATCTGAGGATCATGGTTCAAAGCCAGCCCTGGCAAGAAACTCTGTGAGATCTTATCTCCAATTAACCACCAGAAAACTGGAAGTGGCACTGTGGCTCAAGTGGTAGAGTGCTCAACTTGAGTTAAAGAGCACCGGGGCAGCGCCCAAGCACAGAGTTCAAGCCCCATGACTGACAAAAAAAAAGAAAAAAAAAAAAAAAAGAATTTGAAGCCAGCCATGACAGAAAAGTCCATGAGATTCTTATCTCCAATTAACCACCAAAAAGCCAGAAGTAGAGCTGGTTCAAGTGGTAGAGCATCAGTCTTGAACAAATAAGGCTAAGGGGCAGCGCCCAGCTCAAGCCCCAGAACCAGCTCTCTCTCTCTCTCTCTCTCTTGCTCTCGCTCTCTCTCTCTCTCACACACACACACATGCACACACACACATGCACACACACACAAACACACACATGCACACACACACACAAACACACACAAATTGCAATGTCCTGATGCAGTAGAGATGTATATCAAATACATTAAAAATATTTTTTTGCAGCAATGAGGTTTGAACTCGGGGCCTAACACTTGCTCAGCATTTTTGCTCATGGCTGGTACTCTACTACTTCAGCCATGCCTCCATCCTTGCTTTTTTGCTGAATAATTGCAGATGGATTCTCATGGACTTTTCTTCTTGAATTGGCTTTGACCACAATCCTCTGGATCTCTGCCTCCTGAGTAGCTAGGATTACAGACATGAACCACTAGTGCCTGACTCAAATGCTGAGTAAAGTATAGGGGGGGAATGCAGTAACAAACTCAATGTAGATCCTACAAAATTAAGAAAAGTGAGGGAAGGAATGGGTTGGGAGCGGTGGGTGAGAATGAGGAAGGGGTGACACTGTTCCAGACACACTGTACTTACAAACTGCTTTGTTGAAAAGCAACTCCTTTGTATAACTACTTAGATAATAAAAATATTTTTCAAATTATTTCCTTCTTTCCTCTTATAAGAATGATGGCATCAGCAAACTGATATGGAAGTTATAAAAGGTAGACAAAGGAGAGAATGAGCTGAAAGTACAGGTCTTCTTTGCTAAACCTGAAGAGCAAGCTACCTGTGAGATCTTTTTAGTTATGAAAAATGTTGGAAGGGGAGAAAGGGACAATTTGAAAGAATTCAATTATCTCCAGCTTAGCTTGTCTGACACTTAAGTCATAGCCCTGGCCTTTACTTAATTCCCATTCCTTCACCACTTTTCTGACAGAAACAAGCCACAGCAAGAAATGATCAGATTTGCAATCTTCCCTGATAACAATAGAGCTTGAGGTCAGCTCCACACATACTGTTACTACAGGCGTATTTCAAAGCTTCCATTTGAGCATCTATAAAATCGTATAACCCTACCTAACTCAACACAGTCATTAATTTACTCATAGATGTTTGGGGGACTCTCATCACCTACCAGGCACTATGGTAGATGTTGGGGATACAGGTAACAAGACAAAAATCCTGCCCTCGTAGACCTTGCATTCTAGTGAGAGAATAAACCAAGAAAAATTAAGCCAGCAGAGAACTGTGAGTGAGAGAGTACTCTTTTATATAGGGGCTCTGAAAAGCTTCCACAATTAGGTGCCCTCTGCAAAATGTTTGACATGAAAGAAGAACGTTTAGGTTGTCTTGAGGATTAAAGGAGACTATGCAGGAAATTTCTTAGCAACTGGAATACACTGGTTGCTGGATCCATACTATTTGCGTCAGTCCTGAAGTAATTCTGTGTTGTTGCTGAGAATGTTGCAACAGGTGAAAAATCTGTCTAGTTTCACCAAAGACTCTCCTAAGGGATCCTTAAGCATTGTGAAATAGAAGAGTGCTGACTCAGGGGACTTGCATTTCATTGGTGAAAATAAAATGCCAACTCTATGAGCAAAAGTATGTCTGGGAGAGGGATGTTTTAATCCAGCACGAAAGAGAGTAGGTAAGAGATGCTGTGCAGTCAGATTCCCATTCTTTGTAACAAATATTCCCAACTCTGAAGTCAGCATGTGCATTGAACTCTTCCCCCTCATCAACACTATTAATGGTGGTGATGACATTAATCATATTATTTATTGGTTTGTAAATGCTTTTCTTCCAAAGACCTTAAGTGTTTTATGGGCATGACCTAATTCACCCTCACAACTTCCCCCAAGACAGATCTAACATCATTTAATAATGAGGAAACTGAGGCATAAAGAAGCTAAGTAACCCTTTCAAGGTCAAACAATTATTTAAGCAAATCCGGTCTGCATCTCAGACTTTAGTTTCCAGGTCAGTTCCCTCTGTGTCTGTCTGGTTATCCCCATGGGTTTCAGAGGTGATATGGTGTGGTGTGTACAATCCAAGGATTGTGGATGTCAAAGTGCCATTTTTGCTTATCACATAGTGATCAGTAAATGCTGGTTTTAAGAAATATATTCTTTAGAAAATGTCTTCTTTAATATTCCTAAAATATTATATATCTAATACACTTCTCTGCTTATAGATAGCAAACTTATACTTAGAAGTCCAGATGGCATAAATGTAACTTTTGGTTGTAACAGTGACCTAGGTTAGGAATATACTGAAGTGTGTGGTTTTTCTCCATGGAAGTCAACAGGAACATAGGAGGGGAACAAATTTTTAAAAAAGTTATCTGAAGAAGTAAACAACTTACTGAATGCCACATAGCTAGTAAATAGCAAAGCTATGATCTGACACCATATCCATGTGACACTAAATGTCATCATCTTACCAAATGCCAGTGGCTCCACTTGTAATCCTAAATATTCAAGAGGATGAGATTTAGAGGCTCTCAGTTCAAAGCCAGCCTAGGCAGAAAAGTTTGTAAGACTCCATTTTCAGTTAATTAGCAAAAATGCTAGAAGGAGGCAGAGGTAGAGCAACAGCCTTGTGCCAGACAGCTGAGCAAAAGCCCAAGGCCTTGAATTCAAGTGCTAGTACTGGTACAGAAAACAAAAACAAAAAACTCATAATCTTCAAAAAAGCCAAATATTCAATTCATACCAATTTTCTCAGAATGCCATCTGACCATCCAATGTGAGTCATGTATGACCTAACTAACCATAGTTTAAGTGGTAAAGGGAAAGCCAGGAGTCAGTGGCTCATGCCGTAATCCTAGCTACTCAGGAGGCTAAGATCTGAGGTTCGTGGTTCAAAGCCAGCCCAGGCAGGAAACTCCATGATACTCTTCTTTAAATTTTTTTATTTTTTAAATTTTTACTTTTTATTTTTTTTCAAAGCCAGACCACAGGTTTTTACAGTTTATTAATTCCTTCTTGAAAATTTCATCATCACTGCAGGTCAAGTCATTGCAGGATCTTTCTTCCTTTGGCTTCTTGCCAGCTCCAACATTGGCCTTTGCAGTCCCTCTGACTTTCTTCATTCTGTTTTTGCGTTCCTTTCGCTGTTTCCTCGAAGTCTTTTTCTTTTCACACAGGCCATGTCTTGCAAGTCTGTGTTTGGGCTCATTTTTCTTTGTATAATCCAAAGAATCATAAATCATGTCAGAGCCAGTTGTTTTGTCACCACCAAAATGGGTTCTGATTCCAAATACAAAGATGACATCGGGTGCGGTCTTGTACATTCTGGCAAGTTTTTCCCGAATGTCTGTCTTAGGTACTGTTGCCTTTCCAGGGTGAAGGACATCAATGACCATCTGCTTCCTCTGAAGTAGTCGGTTGGTCATGAGCTTCCTGGTCTGGATAGTCACTGTGTCATTCATGATGGCGGCAGACCTTCAGATAGCCAGGGAGGAAAAGAGTCCATGATACTCTTATGTCCAATAAAGCACTGAGGCTCAAGTGGTCGAGGACTAGCCTTGAGCTGAAGAGCTGAGGGACAGCGCCCAGGCCCAGAGTTCAAGCCCCACCACAACCGACAAAAAAAAAGGTGGTAGAGGGAGGCATGGCTTAAGTAGTAGAGGACTAGCCATGAGCAAGAAAGCTGAGTGAGAGCACAAGGCCAAATTCTAGCCCCCCATTATTGATACACACACACACACACACACACACACACACACACACACACACACACACACTACTATATGTAAATTAAAATGGAATGAACAACAATGTTCAACTAATAGGAAAGTATGAAAAAGAAAAATAAATAAAAAAGTAAAAATAGAGCAGACAGCTCTAGTGTCTCATACCTAAAATCACAGCACTCAGGATTTTTTTTTTGTTGTCGGTCATGGGGCTTGAACTCTAGGCCTGCGTGCTGTCCCTGAGCTCTTCAGCTTAAGGCAAATGCTCTACAACTTGAGCCACAGTGCCACTTCTGGTTTTACTGGTGGTTAATAGGAGGTAAGAGTCCCATGGACTTTCCTGCCCCAGCTGGCTTTGAACCGCAATCCTCAGATCTCAGCCTCCTGAGTAGCTAGGATTACAGGTTTGAGCCAATCTTAGTAATATAGTTTGTTCCAGGCCAGCCTGGACTACATAGCAAGATCCTGTTACAAACAAACAATAAATGAAACAAAAATAAATGGCAACCAAATCCTAGCATACTCATAATTACATTCAATATACATGATCTAAATATGCCAATCAAATGACAGATATTGGAGGGGTGAACCTAAAACATAAAGCAACAAAATGTTGTTCCTAAGAAATTCCTTTCAAATATCGCAATTTATGCAGATTAAAATTTAAAGAATAGAAATAAATATTTTATGAACATTAATAGAAAGAAGGCATAAAGGTACAGATTAGGATCTGATAAAGCAGGCTCCAGCACAAAGAAACTTGCCAAAAACAGAGGGGAAGAGGGCAATATACAATGACAAAAGGACACTGCATCATAAGAATATAGAAACACTAAATGTATATGCAGCATATAGTAAAGCTTCAAAATACATAAAGCACAATTGGTAAAACTAAAAAAATGGAATAGATATAGCCCCAATTATAGTTGGAAACTTCAATATATCTATCATACTAACTTATAGAACAAGTAGGCAAAAAATTATCAAGGATATAATTGGTCAACACCATTGACCAACAGGAACTAATCAATATTTACAAACTATTCCTCTCCACAAGAAGAGAATATACATGTGTTTCACCAAGATAGATGATTCTGGGCCAGCACAAACAAAATAAGAAAGAAAGGAAAGAAAAAAGGAAGAAAGAGAAATTCAAAAAAGTATCAAAATTTGTGGGACGCAACTAAAGCTGTGCTTGCAGACTCTTGTCTTTTGACCCCACCCCCACCCCCTGCTGCCCATGCACGTACCCCATTCCTTTCCTGAAACACTACATGTTCTGTTTTAAAACCATTTCATCGGAGCTGGGAAGGTGGCTCAGTGGTAGAATGCTTGCCTCACATGTATAAGGCCCTGGGTTCAATTCCTTAGCACCATATAAGCAGAAAAAACCAGAAGTGTTGCCATGGCTCAGGTGGTAGAGCACTAGCCTTGAGCTGAAAAGCTGAGGGATAGCACCCAGGCCCAGAGTTCAAGCCCCACGACCAACAAAAAACAAAACAAAAAACACTTAATCTAATCTTTCTTCTTTCTTAGCTTGTAAGCAATTTCTTTTTTTTTTTCTTTTTTTGGTCAGTCGTGGGGCCTGAACTCTGGGCCTGGGCGCTGTCCCTCAGCAATTTAGCTCAATGCTAGCGCTCTACCACTTGAGCCACAGTGCCACTTCCAGGTTTTTCTGCTTATGTGGTGCTGAGGAATTGAATCCAGGGCCTCTTACTTATTTTTTTTTATATGACCAACTGTGTTAGTTCTCAACAAAGATCATTTGAGCAAACGAATAACCAGACAGAGCTAAATAGAATTGAGACCAAACCACTGGTGTGTGGAGTTAGAAAACACTTGGGGTGATGCAAAGTGAGTGGATCCATGCCACAGGCAGAGTTCAGAGCAGCTACTAGTCTGGCTCACTGAAGAGCCTCCTTGGATGCACAACTACAAAATGTGGAATTTGCTGATGAACAATGAAAACAGAAAATTCAACATATAGAATCCCATGATTCTCCCCTCAGTAAAAATAATTTCTTTAGTTAAGTAAATCAGGTCCAGCTCTTTCCTTATTCTCCTGCCCTGGGAAAAACTCCCAGGCTTTTCCATAACTATTTCATTTAATTGTTCTATCAACAGAATGATAAAATCTGGGTTCAGAAGGAACATTAAGGTCTACTGGAACAGCTTTATATCTACACACTCTGTAGTCAGTACAGGGTTGAGCTGCAAGCATTCTTTTCTGGAGAATTGATTGAACTTGGATTTCTCTGAGAAGATCATTTATTGAAAGTGTTTCTAAGTTGGATGTTGGTGGCTCATGCCTATAATCCTAGCTCCTCAGGAGGCTGAGATCTGAAGATCACTGTTGAAAGCCAGCTCAGGTAACAAAGTCCCTGACATTATTATTTCCAATTAACCACCAGAAAACCACAAGTGGAGCTGTGGCCTTGTGCAAAAAGAGCTCAGGGACTACTCACAGGCCTGGAGTTCAAGCCCTATGACAAGCCAAAAAAAAAAAAAAAAGTGTTTCTATCAAACACACAAAGGCAGATATTATTCTAAAAAGAAAAAAACAAAAACAAAAAAAAACCCCAAAACAATAAAAAAAAATCTATTATCAAAAGTTGGAAACTTGTTCCAAAAAGTGACCATGCTTAAAGGCTGCCATCAGTCTAAAATGCTTTGAGGTTGGTTCTGTTTGTATAGTACTAAAAGTCTGACAAAATCTCTATGAACTATACATAGTCCTCACGCATATCTATAGGATTCTTTAGCCATGTTTTAAATCCTGTTTGTTTATTATCTATAATGGAGTTAATTGGCTGGCTGCAGAGTTCTGTTTCTCAAAGGGGATGAGTAAAAAAAGGCTCTCTAGGTTTCATGTCTCTTGAGAATTTGCTAAATTAGTCTCGTAGCATCTGATTATCTTTCGGTATATTTGTAATTTAATTTATGAGCCTTCAAAATGGTTAATCCTTAAATGTCTAGTGACAATATGCACATGATAATTATCTAGATGTTCAGCCAGCTTGCCTGGCCCAAATAACCTGATAGCATCCAGGCCTTTCTATTCAAATGAAAAACATCCTAGCCAGGGTTCACACCACCTACATGAGGGGGGAGGGGAACAGGGGGAAGGTAGACGGACAGAGTGAAACAGAGATAGACAGACAGAGACAGAGACAGACAGAGTGAGATAGAGAGGAGGGGTAGGAGAGGAGAGGGTACATAGAATACTAGGATCAAACCCATGGTCTCATGTTTAGTAGGCAACCACTGAACCACAAGCCCGGCTCTCTTCCAGTCTTCGACTGATGCCTTTAGAAATGCTCAAACATGTCTTCTTTACCTTTTCTCAGCAATCTCTTTTCTACTCCTTGGGACAACGCTGTGAAGATTTAAACTTTGGTTAAACCCAACATTAAAAATCCAAAACTGCACATTAAAATGAAATAAAATAACTACATGGCAACATTATTTCTGCACTTTTGTTTTTCTTTTATAATCACTACAAAGCAAGAAGACTATAGACAGAGCAATCACCAGTGGAAGACCTCATGGGAAGGGCCACACTGGAGAGTCAGAGCACCCAAAAAACTAAGGCTGTGACTCTGGATCATTTATCTTCTCATTTCTAAGTCAGCAAGACCAATGGTGGACTTCTTTATAGTCTCATTCAAGGTACTTAGAAGCTGGTCTCATTATCCACTATCAATTGCTACCTGTTGGGATTGTCCATGAAGAAAGAGAAAGAGCCAAGCACTGGTGGCTCAAACCTGTAATCTTGGCTACTCAGGAGGCTGATATCTGAAGATCAAAGTTCGAAGCCAATTCAGGCAGAAAAGTCCCTCAAACTCTTATCTCCATATGATCACCTAAAACCAGGAAGTAGATCTGTGACTCTAAGTGGTAGAGCACTAGCCCTGAGCAAAAAACAAAACTCAAAATACAAAACCACCCAGAGATAGTGCCCAGACCTGGGGAGAGGAGGGGTTGGGGAGAAAGAAAGATCTCACTGTGTTCCTAGCTACTCTGGAGGCTGAGATCTGAGGATTGAGTTTCAGAGGCAACTTGATTGTGTAAATCTACAAGACTCATTTCTTTTCTTTCTTTTTTTGTCTGTCATGGGGCCTGAACTCTGGACCTGGGCACTGTGCCTCAGCTCTTCAGCTGAAGGCTAGTGCTCTACCACTTCAGCCATAGCGCCACTTGCAGCTTTTTCATTTATGTGGTGCTGAGGAATCAAACCCAGGGCCTCATGCATGCAAGGCAAACACTCTACCACTCAGCCACCTTCCCAGCCCTCTTTCTTTTTCTTTTCTTTTCTTTTTTTTGTCTGTCATGGGCTTGAACTCTGGGCCTGGGCACCGTCCCTCAGCTCTTTAGCTCAAGGATAGCACTCTACCACTTGAGCCAAAGTGACACTTCCGGTTTTCTGAGGGTTAATTGGAGATAAGAGTCTCATGGCCTTTCCTGCCGAAGCTGGCTTTGAATCCTCAGATCTCAGCCTCTTGAGTAGCTAGGATTACAGGCGTGAGCCACCGGCACTGGGCTGACTCTTATTACTCATTGGCCACCAAAAAGCTGGAAGTGGAGCTATGATGTGGTTCAAGTAATCGAGTAATGTCCTTGGGGAAGGGGGGGGGGGGGGATGGGGAAGCTTAGGAACAATGCCTCTCCCTTTGAGTTCAATTCCCAAAAAAGATCATTGGAACCTGTTTTTCAAGGTTATACACACTCCACTCTACAGTAAGCTAAATAATAT